AAGGCAAGTAAGCCTGCCTTGTACTTGCCAGCTGGCAGGTGCTCAGGCTGGGCATGGGAGGGAAAAAAAGGTGCAGGCAGAAGGCTTTGGTCTTTCCAGGCCTCCCAGCTTCTATCCACTGTCATGGTTCAAGTACTCTGTTTCTTTATGGTTTCTTGTGGTACCAAAATGTGAAATATCTATTGCTATGTAATACATTATTCCAACACTTAGTAGCTTAAAAATAAACAGGTATTATATCACACACTTTCTGAAGGTTAGGAATCTTGGAACAACTTAGTAAAATGAATTTTTGTTCAAGGTTTCTTGTGAGGTTTCCATCAAGATGCTGGCTGGGACTATGTCGTCTGAAGGTTTGTCTAAGGCTGGAGAGTTAGAAGCTGTCAAGGAAGAGGAAGTCTCATTACCTGAAGTTGGACTTGGTTTCCTTGCTCACTATACATAAGATACTTTAGTTCGTTGTCGCATTATCCTTGCAATAGGGTTTCTCATGATACAGTAGTTGGCGTCCCCTATCTCAAGTGATGTGCGAGAGAGAAAAAGAGGAAGAAGCCGTGCTTTTATGATTTAGCCTTAGAAGTGTCATATTATGATTCCCACTGTATTCCACTGGTGACACAGATCAACCCTGGTACAATGTGGAAGGAAATTATACAAAGTTATGTACACCAGAAGATAAGGATCATTGGCAGACACGCTGCAGGTTGGCTAACACACACACTTTATGGATTTTTACCTTTTACAATGAACTGATAAGACACAACTGGTTTTGTACAGTGAAATTAATAAGTACATTTACAACTGCTAAGAGGTGTTAAGGCAAAGTGGAGAGTAGGGTTTGTGCCTGCATATTCTCATTTTAGCCATTTTGGCAGGGGTTGGCAAACTATGACCTACAGACTAAATTTACCCCACCACCTGTTTTTATAAATAAAGTTCTTTTGTAACACAGCCAAACCATTCATTTATGTATTATCAGTGTCTTCATTTGCACTACCATGGTGGAGTTGAATAGTTGAACACAGACTGGCCAACAAAGTTGAAAATATTTACCATCCACTTCTTCAGAGAAGGCTTTCTAACTCCTACACTAAAACATAAAGAGAAAAAATTCAAAAGGTCCAAAATTATGGAAATGAAAAAGGGGGCTTAAATGTTCCAAAGAGGGGCTCCTGGGTGGCTCAGTTGGTTAACTGTCTGCCTTCGGCTCAGGTCATGATCCCAGGGTCCTAGGATTGAGCCCCATGTCAGGTTCCTTGCTCAGCGGGGAGTCTGCTTCTCCTTCTGCCTGCCACTCCCCCAGCTTGTGCTCTCTCTCTCTCTCTGACAAATAAATAAATAAAATCTTAAAAAAAGATAAATGTTCCAAAGATTTCCAGGTTTAGATAATTGAAAGAAATCATAAGATTTTAGTAAGCATACCCATATAAGCCTTTTTTAAAAGGCACATAATATAATATAGCAGGAGAAAATTCAAATAAGCAGTTGGGGAACAAAAAACCATGTAGGAACAAGCTCCCCAATGTTTTTACTTCTACAAAGACATGATTCATCTCTGAATAAAACTGCTGATATTTGTGCTGATTCTTATATGCAAAAACTTGGTTTTAGGAGAGCTCAGACAGAAGTTTCCTGCATAGTCTGGTTATATGGCAGAGACAGGATATATAACTAATTATCTCAAGTATGTTATAAATAAACAAATTGGTTCTAGGTTCCACACAGGAAGTTTGAACTTTTAAAAAATTTACCATTAGTTTTTATGCTAGTTAGTTTTTATGTTAACTGACTTAGTTACTTAGTTAGCTAGCTCACTGCCCTACATGGCCAAGAGTCAAAAATCAACTCTCAAGCATCCCTGGAGATAAGCAAAGAGCTGTCTCAATCCAGCTATACAAAAACTTTGTCTTTAATAAGCAAACTTAGATGTCAGTAAGTGGAGGAACTAAGAATTAATACACTGGAAAAAAAATTTTTAAAGTATTATTTGTCCTGGCATATATGAATTCAATTCATGAATCAAAAGGCAATGTTTAAATTCAATAAACTATGTAGCAGCACTTACAGCATATTTTTAAGGACTATGTTGGTATGGTAGGCAGCTCTAAGATGACCTCAAAATTCCCATGCCCTGGTGTACCTGTGTATAATCATGTGCCCTTGAATTTCGGTGGGATTTATGTAGATGATGGGAGGTTGCTCTGTGATTAGATTACGTTAAATGGAAAGATTAGGCTATTTCTCAGATGTAACAAAGGTTCTAAATTAATCAGTTTTCAGTTAATCAGAAAGAAAATATTGTGGGTACAGCTGACCTAATCAGTTGCATACTTAAAAAAGACTCTAGAGGTGAGAGAGAAAGGAGTGCTTTCCTTCTGGCCTTGAAGAAGCAAGCATCCACGGTGTGACCGTCTATGAAGAGGGGCAGCCACTGGGAGGCAAGGGTCTCAGTTCTACAACCATAAGGAACTAAATGCTGCCATCAGCCTGAATAAACTTGGAAGAGGACTCAGTTTTAGATGAGAATTCAATGTGGCCACGACTTTGATTCTAGCCTTGTGAAGCCCTGAGCTAAGGACTAAGCCACGCTCAGCTCCTGATCCATAGATACTATGACATACAAACATGTGCTGTTTTAAGTTTCCAAATTTATCATGATTTGTCATGCACCAATACATTCAGAGTAATACACTTAGGTAACAGGATAAAATTAAGGAAGGATAAGCTAACTCTTGGCAATATTATTTTGTTATTGGGGGCGGTGGACATTCCCTCACCCTCTTTCATTAGTTTTACATTCAACACTGAGATATTCACTCAACCAGATCCTTCCATGTGCATTAGTCTATTTCATAACAAAAAAACAAAGAACAAAAGAAAAATATTTCTCCCCAGAAAATATATCAGAAATCACGTTAGAAGAGAAAAGAGATATTTAATAGGAAGACCTTTATATAAAAGAAGTCTTTCCTATCCCAACGATGACAAAGATATTTTCAGGATGAAGGAAGAGTAGGAGGAAGACTAATTAAAATAAAATGGGCCTAATGGTCATGGACTCAGTGTCACTAACATGATGGGATCATGCTGTGAGAAGGCACCCTAATGTGGAGGACTAGTATCTTCCTTTCAATCCAGGAGTTTCCATCATAAATGTCCTGAAATTACATGGGAATTGAAAAAACCACCTAAGCTATAATGGGAGGCTACAGGAATTTTCCTCTCTCAGTAGAGACAATTTTTTTTTAGCAGACACTCTGAAATTAGATACAACTCATCATATTTAGCACCTTCTGTTTCCTCATTGCTCTTGCAATCTTAACGAATGTTCATGAGTTCTCAGAATAAAGGCAGATAGGGCTCTGGGCACCTCATAGGGTGATGATATGAAAAGTAACAATTTGAAGGTATACTTGGCTGTGGCTAAATGAAAACACTTGAGATTCATTCTGGACAAAATTATAAAAAATAGACCATCCTTGGTTCACTTCAGAGAAAATCATCCCAAGCAGAAAAGCAAACAAAAAACCAAAAGGAAATCGCCTTATAGGGAGATGGGATAGTTGGGAGGGAAAACTATTAATTTTCATTATGTTTATCTCTGTTTTATAATTTAATTAAAAATATACTATTTTTAATTGACATGGGCAACAAAGCCAAAACATTTTAGAGATTTATTTATGTATTTATTTTAGAGAGTGGGACAGAGGGACAGGGAAAGAGAGAATCTCCAGCAGGCTCCCTGCTGAGTGTGGAGCCCAATGTGGGGCTTGATCCCAAGACCATGAGATCATGACCTGAGCCAAATCAAGAGTCAGACACTTAACGGACAGAGCCACCCAGGCGCCCCAAAGCCAAAACAGTTTAAATATCCAGAAAGTGTAATGTGTGTCCTCCTAGTCCAAGTTAAACATTTGATTTAGATTGTCTTGTAGTTTTCATAACATAACAAGTGCATTTTTCCTAATCTTCATACGAGAATGTGAAGAGTGCAGTTCGTAGTCTTATTATACTTATATATATTTTTAAGATTTTATTTATTTATTTGACAGAGAGAGAAAGAGCAAAAGAGCACAAGCAGGGGTAGCAGCAAAGGGAGAGGGAGAAGCAGGCTCCCCGCTGAGCAAGGAGCCTGACGCGGGGCTCAATACCAGGACCCAGGGATCATGACCTGAGCCGAAGGCAGATGGATGCTTAACCCACTGAGCCACCCAGGCGCCCCTTATTATACTTATATTTTAAGAACTAAAACACAGGGCTTTTTCCTCTTCCTGGCTCTTTCTTAAGAATCAATTTGAGGTTCTTAATTATTATAATTTAATTGAAATATAAAACAAAAAGATGTGTCAATATAAATTTGTAGAGATATATATGCAATAGTTTTAAAAAAGGGAACTGGGTTTTGATATCTGTGAGATTAGGAAAACCCCATTCAGGTCACAGACATCAGACCGTACTATGTTCCCACGCTTCTCTGACACAGTCAGAACCCCCTCAGTTAAATGGTTTGCTCCCTCCCCCGACAGAAAAAGGGAATTGTTCAGTATTTCACACCTAACTTTTAGGAAAAAGGCTTGGGGTTGATTAGAGATTAAGATCTTCAATTTACATCTCAGTGACTTTTTACTGGTGGATAACCATAAGGCAAGAAAGATGTGTAGGATAGAAAAATAAGTATTTCAAATTTATGTGATCAGGCTTGGATTCCTTTTACCCTTGCAAAATCTAAAAACAATCAGATGGGAACCACTATTTGGACAAAGATTCAAAATTATTCTACAGAACTCAGGACCATCAAGAGAAGAACACAATATGTTCCCCTCTAAAGTCTGATGATACACATGAGGAAGCTGTCTGATGACACTTTAAGCTCTGAATTAAAACATATAGATATGTATATATAGATATCTAGAAAGAACTAAGTTCCAGAAAAGTAAAATGAAGATGGGACTTCCCAATTTACTATGCCTTACAAAGAACTGAAATGACATTGATACAGGTCATTTGATGCAAATTATTTTATTTGAATTTCTGCAAAGAAAATTTACAAGAATATATGCATAAAACACATTAAATTTAATATTAAACATATACATTAAGTCACAACAGTACTGAAATTCTTTACCTTGATTCATTGTTATTACAGATATAGGTGAACAAATTCCACCAATTTTAAAACATTATTTCAAATATGTGAAAATTGTATCACAAGACATGATTTGAAACATTTTACAAATCCCAGAAGTAGATAATTAGCAATAATATAAGAGGTAAAGTCATGTTCTTATACTACTGAATCTTCACCACCCACCCCTTCCACTCCAAGAAACACTAAATAAGTTTTTGTTTACATATAAAATGATATTTATTGTCACAGGATATATCGAAAACACTTTGTCTTGCATTATAGATTACGCATTTCTCTGGACTTAATTTTTGAACTAATGGCAATCTGTAATGAAAAATAAAATGTTAACATATGAGAAAAGGAAATGAGAATATCTAGGGATTGTGTTTTTTTATTAAATGATAGATTTTTTAAAGCACTTAAATGAGATATTAACATATTGAGTCAATTGATTTTTATCCAAGAGCCATGTTTTCACAATTTCAGAGCACAGTATTACAAAAACTCAGCTATTGCCTCACTTATCAACAGCATTAAGGCCAAGGATTTTGTGTTTTTGCTGTTGTTATTAATGGTTTTGATATATGGTATACTTCTATTTTGTTTAAAAATGTACTCGATAATCTAGCCTGGGAAAACAAATCCAAGCATAAGATTTGTCATTGTCTGATGCTGCACATCCAATGTTTATGAATGAAAATGAGAACTAAAGATTACAAATATACAGAAAATAAGCTCAGAATATTTGAAACATGGGAGTATACTGAAAATAACAGGCTCAAGAAGAGTAAAGAAAATAATAAATATTCTATTTTCCCTGGACAGCTTCTGTGAAGATAAGCATCTGTACATGCACATACACATCCAAGTGCTTATACAAAGCAACAACAACAAAAAAAGTCAAAAGCTGTTTAATGGTCACAAGTACACTGACTTCGTGTCACTTGAGCATAAATTTGGATGATCTACATGGAGCTAAAATTGTTAGATCTCCTTCTTTTCTGTATTTTCATGCCTTAGACAGGTTATCCTAGCTACAGTGCTCCCAAATGTTACAGTCTCTGGTGAGATCTACAGATAAACTCATAAAAAACTAAAAAGACCTTAAAAAAAAAAAAAGAAAGAACTAAAAGGAAACTTGGCTGCCAGAAACTTACAGATCTTGGGAGACACTGGAGCCATCTTCCCACAACCAGGCATCACATTCTTTATGGTAAGAGAGTCCAATCCAGTAAAAATATTTAATGGAGCTCATAAAATGCTGATTGGAAACAAAGACAAACACATTAATCAAACTTGAATCTATTCTGGGAATAATGTACTTTGAAGAAAGTGTCAGCATCAGATTTAGCTTTTTAATCACACAAACTGAAATAATTTTTAATGTCCAGTTTAGAAAGTATAGTCACATGCCTCATATTTCTTCCTTTTCTTCCTTATGTTATTTATTCACTAATTTCCACAAATACTCATTTAAGATATAGAAATAAATGCCACAAAATATCACTTCTTAAAGGAATAAGACATTAGAAGGAAGTAAGAGTTTTCATGGAACACCTCCTTCAAAGAGATTAAATCAAATTTGATCCCACATCAACAGTATCTTGAGGATAGATTTCATAGATATAGTCTACTTAACTTATACTCAGGACAGTTTCTTCATGCAGCTAGAGAAATTTTTCACTTTTTCTTAAATTGGGTAATTTTTTTATCATACTGTCCGTACTTATCACACATTATATCCCAGAGTGGGATATAATTGTAAAATGTTTCAAATCATGTCTTGTGATACAATTTTCACATATTTGAAATAATGTTTTAAAATTGGTGGAATTTGTTCACCTATATCTGTAATAACAATGAATCAAGGTAAAGAATTTCAGTACTGTTGTGACTTAATGTATATGTTTAATATTAAATTTAAAAGATATAATTACAAAAGAAATTATAAATTTAATTAATGAACTAAAAATTATAAAGTTATTTTATTAGTCTTTGAATAAAAATAATGGCTTATTCGTTCTTTGAATTCGCTCTAAAATGTTCCTTGTGCTTTATCTGGAATGTAACTTGATTTTTATTCCTATAATATAAATCTTTGAGAAATTTTTGTAGGTTTTATAATGATTGTTTCAAGATATAGCAAATTAGTAAGTCATTAGTTCAAATAATAACAATCCATTTACTATAATTAAAGACAAACAAGAGTATTCAGCTTACTTAGGTAGCATATTTCCCTAGGTCAAAGAAAAGGTAGGAAACCAGAATTAAATACATGCCAATTTATCTCCGTTTTCAATCTGAAGTAGACTGGAATTCTGAGACACACAGAAATCACGACTTTCTTTCCAGGTTTTTAATTCACCAGAAAAGAAGTAGCAGTTGCAGTGGTACCCAATCCACCTTTCTGGGCAAGAACAACAGTTAGAGCCTAAGAGAAAAAAACAAAACAACAAAAAACAAAAAACATGACTTATGACATTCAGTTTTTTCAATGCTATTTACTCATTCAAAAATCATTTGTTATTTCTTCACTGTTTTCCACAAATATTCTTTGAGAATCTACTACACATACCATAGTTCAGGGGCTATTAATGTGAACAAGTCAGACATAACCCTTTTTCCTAATAGAGATTATATTCCAGATAGAGAGTCAGAACTATATAATTTCCAATCATTTATCAATTATATTTAATGATAATTTTGGTAAGTATACACAAGAATAAGTCAGTATGTTAAAACATTGGGTAGTGGAGTATAAATTGGAGAGTGGCTAAAGAAGCTTTTTGAAGAAGTGACCCCAAATTGAGCTCTGTTGCGTAAATAGGAATAAACAGATTAAAGAGATATTTAAAGGGAAATATTTTAGCATATTTCCTGAGTCAGAAAAGAATATAGCACAAATTGGAGAGTTCTGATGTTTGGATATTTTATTTTCAAAATAGAGATAAATAAAACAATTAGCTTGAAGACTAATACTACAGTTTACCAATGATGGGTCTTGAACATTTACTATCCTCAGTGATAAAAGTCGAGAGACATGGTAGGCACTCAAATCTTTGTCAAGTGAATGGTTCTGAAGTGCAAGGTGGAATGGTAGTTACTAGGAGCTGGAGAGTGGGGTAAATGAAGAAATGTTGGTCAACGGGGACAAACTTCCAGTTAGAAGGTGAATAAGTTCTGGGGATCTAATGCACACAGTTATGATTATAGTTAGCAATAGTGTATTAGACACTTCAAGTTGCTAAAAAAGTAGATCTTGAATGCTCTCACCATAAAAAAAGAAATGGTAATCATGTGACATGATAGAGGTATTAGTAAGTGTTATGGTAGTAATCATATCTCAACATATAAGTGTATCAAATCAATCTGTTGATTACTTTAAACTTACACAGCATTATATGTCAGTAATATCTCAATACGGATGGAAAAAATGCAAAAGGGAAAAAGATAAATAAATATGATCACAGAAGATGGTGAGACAATTTGGAGACCATTTGGAAAAAAATACCTTAAAAAATTGGACTTTGAGCTGGCTTTCATTGGATAAGTAGGGTTTAAAATAACAGAAATCTGTGCACTATATTCTGAGTCATGCAAGAAGCGGAAGCAAAGGTAAAGAGATATAAAAGTATGAGCTATGAGCAAACCAGCAGGTAATTAGGATTAACCATAGTATTTACTGTAACATATTGGTTACATAAACATGAGCACTCATATAGGAAAAAAATGTCATTTTAGGCTAATATTTTCCTTATTACTTAAATATGTAAATGATCCATGTTCAATGTAATTTAATGCTTTTTACATTAGAGAATAATGAAATGTTACTATCTTACAATTAGTAGGTAAACTTGTATTACCAAGTGTACTATTCCATTATGCTCTGTGTGAGAAAAACAAGAAACTATTTCATCCTCTACCAACACTAAGGTTTTCCAAAGTATGGAACCTACCTTTCTGGAGTTCTGTGATTGCATCTGGAGACAATGTTGGCTGAATACTTTGTTTGGGATATACTGTAAGAAATGATTAAAAATTTACTTCATTAGATACAAGCTTATGAAATAATAAAATAGTACACATTAATAAAATGAAACCTTTAGTATTAAATGGTTTCACCACAGTTATGGTCTTTATACAAACTTGCCTAGAAAAACTTACAATCTTTCAACAAAATTCCCATAGTAGCCATCAAAAAAAGGCAGATTACTCCTAAGATCCCAGAAATCAAATTCCACGGAGTGGTCTGAGAAGCTGTAGTGAAAGAGAGATACAGTGGTTATTTAAAGAACAAAGGCAGGAGCTGAAGATCTTAAAAGCAACACAGTGAGAGAGAATCCAAAACATTCTTTGGTTTGATAACCCAATCATCTTGCCAATGAAACACTGGAAAATGAAAATATTCCCATCAGAACTTGCCCCAATACCCAAATTTTTATGTGGTGTAATTTATTCATTACCGAGATTATCTATAACTTTTCTCCTTTACCAATCCTGTCCCAGTAAAGTGGACTTACCATTTATTTCTTAATTCCACAAAGAAGCTTAGGGATCTGGAGTAAGAAGACATCAGCAGGCATCAGGTTGTGTTTTATGGGCTTACGTAACAGGTATTTACTTTATTTTCTCAACAAGAATCACAAGATAATATGATTCCCATTAAGTAGATAAGAAAACTTAAGGTCACTACATCAAAAACTAATGATGTATGGTGACTAACATAACATAACAAAATAAAATAAAATTAAAAAAAAACTTAAGGTCCATTAATAATGTTATTTTCTCCAGATACCAAAGCTAGTAAGTATCCAAGTCAGAAATCAAATGAAAGTTTGTCTACCCAGAGTCTTTTACTTAGCAAATTCTATCATTGCCACAATAGTATACTTGGAAATGTGCCCTTCTATTCATCTTAGTGCATTCTCTACCTAAGAAATGTCCGGTTGCTTGTAGCTTTGTAGAGGTTTTTTTTTTTTTTATAGGGAAGAGAAGACATAGGAGCACTCCAGACCTGGTGTGATGTATGGGTAATACCTTGGGGACCTGGATTCATTTCACAGTACATTAAATTATGATATATAAGCAACCATTTTTTTACAAGAACACTATGCTTTCTCATACCAAAAATTACCGCTTATTGGCATTTACCCTAAAATAATATAAATTTAGGAGATTTGGCATTAACATTAGCATACTCCCAAAGAATCACTAACAGACAGTCCAATGTGTCAAACTATTACTCTAGGTGATTTGGGGTGTCACAGCACAAATGGTAAATTTTTAAAAAACACTTGTAAGCATTGTCACTAATACTTGGCATTCTCTATTCACTTTGGTGCTAGCATTATGTTGTTCATAATTTAACCTGGTAAATTCAGTTTGCATTCAGAGTTTAGAGCTATCCCTGTCAGAAGCCACTCTTTAAACCTGCTGGAAAATCTTCACAAAATCATTTCTAAGTTACAGATAAAGAATCAGAAGTGGAAAGCGCTGATACATAGAAAGCCTAAAAATGTCTACTTTTTCCTAAAAACACTGCCCTGAAATTAGCCATATCCCTGAGCTGCCTTTTCTGTTTCATTTCATTTTTTAAAATATTATGACTCGGGCCTCACATACCTGCCATGAGAAATGTTCCAGTATCGATGCCGGCAAGGTACAATGTGTGCTTAATCAAGAAGGATGGTGTTGTGTTGGTTCACAGAGCTGAGCTGGAGGCTAAACAATCCAAAAGTCATGCATGAAGAAATTTAAAAGAAAAAAAGAGAAAAATTATTTATTTGAACAATGTTCTTGAATCTTCTATTGGTGAATGTATCACATGAACAAGAAGCAGTAAAGTCACTAGCTTCTAAAATGTTCCAGGAACCACAACACAGGAAATTACCACAGTACATGTGTAATGAAAGCCCTTTGGCTATCATAAAAGAAAATGAGTGGGATTTTTTTTTTAATGTGTGAATATCAAAGTCATTTTAAAACATCATTTGGAAAACACACATGTATGGTTTTCATCCTTTGAGTTTACTGGGAATCTAGGTAGATTTTTTTATCCTGTTAAATTGTTATCCTGTTTCCTTTGTTTTCTTGTCTCAAATTTCAAACCCTGAGGCTCTATCTTGAGGGCAATTTTACAAAACTGCTTTGGTGTTACCTGAGGTTAAACTCAAAAAAAGACTTCAGAAGAGCACCAGAACTACCTGACACTTAACAAATTATGGGAGAAAGTGGAGCCATTCTCCCAAAATCAAGTACTAAGTGAATGTCTCACCTAAGATGGTAGGGAGTTCATAGTCTCTCGTGGTTCGTCTTCCCCTCCGATTTCCCCCCCTTCATTTTTCCCTTCCTGCTATCTTCTTTTTTTTTAATAGTTTCTAAAGTCAGCAAAAGTTTTAAATGCAGCCATAGCAAGAACTTTTTTTCTTAAAAGGATGGACTAGTTTTCATATTCATACCTCTAATATGGCTCCACATCTTATTTCAGAGATGCAAAAAAGCCCCATTATTTTAAAACAAATGGTAGAAATGAGTTAAAATTGTTATGATTCAAAACAAGTTTAATTGGTTGTTGAATAAAACAGTGGATAAAATGAAATTCTACTCTATTTTAAGGCCACATGTTAGAATTATGATTACCTATTTTATCTCCAATCACCTAAAGTATGAAACATGAACCTAATCACTTGATTTAAATGAAACATCACCTGGTAAGAACATAGAATACATATTTTTATTCATAATTAAAACAATTTATTTTCGTAGGAACACAGGTGTCTGTATTTTAATATTTAATAATGGTCTATTTTTATTCATTGTAAATTTTTATGAGTTTCTTAACCTTTTCCCAGAAACCTGAATTTTATGCTATTCATGTAATTGGTAAGGCACCTTATGTCAGTTTTATAATAACTATTTTAGGGTACAAGGAACAACCAGATAATTTGTTCAAATGTTCGTTCAATAATCTAACAATCAAATCAAAAACATTCAGCTTAATCTTGAAGTGTTTTTCAATGTCACCCAAAGGAAAATGTGTGACACTCAGTTTGAAGAAATACTGATTCACCTCTACTCTGTAACTGAAATACACTAAAAGCCTAAAATATAACAATACACCAATTCAATGAATCCTCAATCACAGGAGACCCCAGCTCTCTCTCATTTTTACTTCATTACAAAGGAGGTAGCCCTTGAGTCTGTTCCCAATCCACTCTGGAACAGAACAGAGAAACAGAGGCAAGAGAGATAACTTCAGAAAGAAAAAGAAAGGACTCATATTAAAATTGAAATGTGAGCATGAGCTTGTAGGATAAATTGGACTTGGAAATACAGAACTATAGTTACAGTGAGAGTAGAAAACAGACATGCTTCAAACCAATACCTAAATAAGATGGAAAAAATTCGACACACATATGTTCTTCCCATCTTTTTAAATAAAATATACATTTTGAAAAGTAATAAAAGCAAAAATTCTAATGAATTATCAAAGGCAAGACCTGCAACGACCACCCCATCAAGAAATAGAACATTTCCAGCACCCCCAAGATCTTTCCTCACTTAAACTGGTACTCCTACTCTCTTTCTCCTTCCAGATATCACCACCATCTTGACTCCAAAACTATCTTGACCTCAAATGCAAACCATAGTTTAGTTTTGCCCATTTTTTAAATTTATATAACTAGAACAACATAAAATAAACTCTTCTGTTTCTAGCTTATTTTCCTCACATTCTTGAGAGAGTCACCCAAGGATCCCTCTCCATCTTGTTGACACTGACTAGGCCATATGCAAATTACTGTGGCTAGTGGATAAGACACGTTGATTGATTTGAATCAGTTGGAGTCCAATTTGGACACTGGAGTGGGGTCAACTTTGCTCAAAACAAAATGAATAGTAATGATCATCTAAAGGAAATCTAAAGCACTAAATTTCTAGAAAGATGAACTTTGGGAAATTGTTGACCCCTTTCAATAATTTTTAGTTTTTGTTTGTTTGTTTGTTTTATTTCCTTTATTTTTTTCTTAAAATAGGTCTTTATGAATGAGTCTACCACTGATCAACATGTAAAAGTTTATTTTGAAGCACAAAGAGTGAACTTCTTATTGTGTACCAATTATAATCAATTCAAGTCCAGATTCATCAAGAAACAATGTTATAAAGATGAGCAATGACTTCCATGAGCTTTGATTTGAAAACATTTAGCACATCCACCATCTCTGAATTTACTATTTTTTTTAAGTAGGCTCTACACCCAGTGTGGGGCTTGAACTCATGACCCTGAGATCAAGACCTGGGCTGAGATCAAGTCAGGTGCTTAACCTACTGAGCCACCCAGGTGCCATGAATTTACTATTTCTGAGGTGGAATGAATGTTTTATTAAAGAATATAACAGAATTTGACTTTAGAGAGAGGATAGTGTAGTTGAGACATAAGAAAGTGAAAAGATAGCTAGTGCTAATACCAAGAGAATAAATACATTATCTTCTGTTAACCTCTTTTTTTCACTTTTTATGTTGCAATGCTTATAGATTGACATAAAATTGCAAAATTAATAAGTACAGGTAGTTCCCTGGTACCCTTCATTCAGTTCTCCCCATGGTAATATTTTACACAATTAGAGTATAATATCAAATCCATGACATTGACATTCATACAATCCATAAACTATTCAGATTTCACCAGTTTTGTATGCACTTATTTGCTTGAGTGTGTGTGTATGTGTATAGTTTTATGCAATTTTGTCTTGTGTATAAATTTGTGTAACCACTATCATATAATCTCTGTTTTTATATTTTAGAAAGTAATTACCACCATTTGTTTTGTTACTCTGAAGTTTGGTTGTTAAAGAAAAGACAAAGTAAATGACTGGAACTTTTCCTTTGTTTACCAATTTTCATTTTAATTGATTTAGTGGGGGAAAAATTTAACATTTATTGAGCAAATATCACATGTCTATTCTACTGTTTAATTGAATGTCTCATTAAGTGCATGAGTACACATTTACCAGTATCAGTACACTTAATCCTGGTAAAATATTTGAGCACTCTACTGTTTCATTGATGTAGAAATTTATTAATACATCAGAAATTCTGTTTTATCCAATACTTTCTCTAATGTAAAGATTATACAAGTAAACATAGCAATAGGAAATCATTGACATTTTTCCCACCTTTGAATATTCTTGTCCTAGAGTTAAAGATCCTGACATCACTTTAAATTGAGTAACCAGATTCTTAATTGGTCATTCAGTTCCACCAATAAAGCTTTCTTAAGAGTTGACTAGGATTGTTTCTTACAGGATCTTGCTCTGGCCTTCTCTAAGAGGTTGAGATGATCATTTTGTAGCTCCATCAAGTGAGGAAATATTTGCCATTAGTAGAAATGCTGATTTTTCAGTTCTTAGATCTCGGATTTTTTACCCAATGTCTGTGCAATTACATTATGGGTTTTAGATACTGCATTGTTGTTTTGACAAGTAGGGTATCATTTTACATTTGTGATTTAAATGACAGTTTAAATTCAATCACGGATATTAACCAAAGATGTTATACAAGAATGTTTCCCTTTTTTCCCATGAAATTAAAAGTACCAGGAAACTCCTACCCATCAAAAGAAGTAGACAAAAAAGCAACAAAACCAAAGAAACAATCAACTCTGCATCTGGTTCAGGAAGAGCTTATTCAGATTCAGATGAAAGAAAAAACAATAATGTGACGGTTTTGGATATATTTAGATTTTTCTCAGCACTTGAGACTGCCTAATAGCTGTTTTATAAAGTAAGATGTTTACACAGGAAAGGAAGCATTCAAAATACTGTCCTAATTGGTAACATAGATTTTGGATAAAACATTGGCATTCTCTGATTATTAAGGGAAGAGATGGGTTTATAAAACCAGAATGGGGGAAAAAAAAACATACAATTTGTTTCAAAATTTCTTAATCTCAGCCTTTAAAGCATATGTCTTCTAATTAATAAGTCTCCTCACGGGAGACTTCGGTAGAGTATAAGACCTCATGTAAGAGTTGCAAAGACCTTGTTGGCTGCAGCTGTGGCTTGTCAGTCCCCATGTAGATGGAAACAGTTTGTCTGTGGTGAGCTGTTGGGTGGGTCTTTAGGTTCTCACTCTGAAATAACACACCAAAGTGACACATTGTTTACTTCCTAAAGTCTAAAACTGAAGTATTTTTACTAAATATCTGTGGAATGACACAGAGCCTCTTTCTTGACTTTAGACAAAAATACATGCATTATAAAGCTCTATGATCAGTATCTCTTGATGAAACTTGAGCATAAAGAAAAAACAGGGGAAGTAAAAGAATTCCCTAAGAATAGTAAGACACATAAGTACCAAACAGGAGGTGACTCAGATCAGTAAAAACCTGTATAAGTCTGGAAAACTCACCTTTTAGTTTTCGTACTGATCTCTTGTCCAGTGAAGATCAATTAACCTATACATTTCCAAAATCCAGTAGCCTGAACTAAATCTGAAGGAAAAGAGGCATATAAAGGAATATTCTTAAAAATGTTATAATGTGTCCCTAATTCTTTAGTAGAGAAGACTACTGTGTTTGTATAACATGAGCCTGCAGCTGTTACTAGGAAATGTACAAT